AAGCTATATTAAGATAATTTTTAAACTTTCTAGTCTATTAAATTTTAAAATGAGATTAAGTGGTGCGCCTAGCCCTACAATTTATCTAACCCCAGTCACCCCTAGATATTTTATGATACATTTTTTTAAATATTTTACTATAATATTTATAATTACAATTTAAGTAAATTTAAATTAAGCGGAGATATTTATATATATATTTTCAAACAAGATTTTATATGGTCTTGACTGAAACACTTAGTGGTAAGCATTTCTAACACGTAAGGGAGGAGGGTAATATTATAAAGCCATCATTGAAATTGAAAGTGGTATGGAATTGTAAAAACTCTATCATCATTACTCATTAGAATAAATGGATTAGCTAATCAAATTTGTATTTATCGTTTTTTTTGCAAATTTAGATGTTTTTATTTAGGATAGGATTGGTAAATAGAAGGACAAGGGATAATATTGTCATTGGTTTAGTGAGTGGAAGTTTCAGCTTGGGACCAATTTTCAAGAAAGAATCAGACTACAGTATAAAATATTGAATTTGTTTTACATTTTTATCTATATTCTTTAATGAATAGTCAGAAATTATTCCTATTACTAGATTTCCTTTTCTTTATTTGCTTCTGAGTCTTAACATCATCATATCCTCCTTCTTAAACTCTTTTCATTATTTTTTCACCAGTCCTCTTCATAATTTTTTATCTATCACCATCCTACTTATCTCCGGTCGGTCTTTCTGGTCTTCTTTCAACGTATCTTACCAATCTTTATCTGCTTCTCGGCGTCTGTCTTATATTCGCGACATCTCACAATCATTCTGAACTTCGATTTAAAAGGCGCTCTTTATTTAACAGGAGTCATCCTTTCTTTTTCCAATGAACTCAGAATGTCTTTTATTTAACTTTATCTTCTTTTTTAAGTCATTAAGTAACTGACTCTACCATCATTTCTTCTGTAAACCTTTTCCATTTTCATTCGTTCATATTCAAACATAAGAACATCATTTTCTTCCGACTTTCCATTACATTAAAGGCCCTCAAGAAATTTAGTACCTTCTTCAATCGATATTAGTCTCCTTACTTTTCTTTTCGAATGAAATAACATTATCTAAAGATCAAGTAAATCAGGGCATTTTCATATTTAGCTATTACTTTATCATATGAAACACCAACAATAGGGATAAACTCATTGCCAATGCCTATTTAGGCTTATTTTTTGCCAATAAACCCCCAGATATTTTTGATTCGTCCCTAATTAGCCACACATTTCCATAATATTTCTTATCATAATTGTACTCAGATTTTTTGTCAAAAATATTACCATAAAATTATTAGAAATCCTGTCATCCTTAGATATATTAACATCAATATAGCCACGTTGTTTATCACTTATTAAGCTTTTTTGAACTAATCAATATACGAACATTGCTTCTATTATTGGCACCCCTCCAATCTTGTATCCAAATTGATTGGCAGCCTCGAATGCTCATCATCTTTCTACTATCTTTTCAGCTATCCACTCCCAGCATTTCCATCACTATACTTAGAATTTTGCTCTTCAATAATTGTTCCCGTCACACCTCTCTTTGACAATCGTGATAACTAAACTCATTATTGTATAGCAACCATCCCCACCCATTTGAGAAAACAATTTTATTTAAGGAAATTTAAGCTGAGAATTCCGATAATTTTAACTTCTGTAAGCGTTAAAAAAAACCATTGATAAAAATTTGTGAGAGAGAGCTAACACGCATAGTCGTAAGAAATATACTAATTTTTTTTTAATCTCACCCCAATTCTAATAAATGAAAAGAAAATATTTAAAAAAAATAGTAAAAAATTATTCATATATCATGGAAATATTCAGCAATTCCTTTGAATCCATCTCTGCTTAAATTTCAAATTTTCTACTTCTGGTACCTAAATATAAAAAAAATGAAGATAATTTTTGGAATTTTTGCACAGATATCGTAAAAAAATGCATCATCATCACTCCATAGGCCTGTACTAGGCCCATTTCCAAATAAGAAAACGATTGATGAATTATTCGTAAATGTTGCTATCCGTAATTATACCAATCAAATAAGAATAAGTATAAACTCTATCATTGTATATGTATATTCGGATAGTAAATTAATTGATTTGATTCGCTATTCGATTCGAATACACTTTTGAATATAGGCCTAGCTTGTTACTCAAGGTTCCAGTCCCTGATTAATAAACAATTGAACACTTTTCGTTACTATATAATATATTAAAATCTAAAAAAAAAAATTTTATATACAACTTTTATAATAATGTATTTGTATGAAATTAATTTTTTTTCGTTTTTCATATTATATATATAATATATAATTTATTATATAGAGTATAATTTACTTCCTTTTTTGTTTTATATAAAAAAAATAAAATATATTTTATTAATTAACGATATAAATATGGTATATGTGGTTGTGATTTTAGAAATTGGACATTTTTTTGCTTATTTATTTTTATTTTTATCTTTTTGAGATATTGGAATTTTATTATAATATATTTTTATATTATTTAATTAATTGAGCGCGTTTATTTTAGATTTGAAAAAATTTGATTTTGCCGGGAATGCCTTTCAATAGGTGTACTATAAATTTCAAATTTTTAAAAAATTTTTAATTTAAAATTAATCTACTGCGCATGTCGAGACCCTATTAAAGTATCGCCTTACCAATAATCTTATATAGTAACTAACTAAGCAAGATAGGAAAATATCTTTTTAAAAACATTTTGTTCGTATTTTTCATTTTGGATTTTTATATATATAATGAATATCAATTTATATGATTTTTTGTTTTTAAAAGATTTTGTAATTTATTTTATTTTATTTTTTAAAAAAAAATAAATAATATATAATATAAAAAATATATTATACAATTAAAAAGGAAAAATTAAAATGTATAATATTTATTATTTTCCAATTTTAAGAAGTCCAATGAAGGAGAAGAAAAAAAAAGACTTAAAAAATTAATTATAACCCCCCCCCCCCCCTCCCCCTCTCCCCTTTATATGTATACATTTTTGAATTTTTTTTTAAAATCAATTTGTTCAATTTATCTATTTTAATCTTTGTTGTTATATACTATATTATTATATAATTAATTGTATAAATTTTACCCATGGAATGTTGAACCAGTTATCTGCCAGAAGCTAATTAATTTTTATGTGGACTAAAGTTGATTTGTGGGGATATAAGGTTTTTTTGTTTTTTTTCTATTGTTGAGCCAATTAAATAGCTTTTTTGTAGAGGATTAGAATGTTCGATTTAAACTATAATCCATGATAAGGGTATCAAAGCTGATATAATTGGACTCGCTATTTAGATGTTTGGCCTGATTCCTAAGTAGAATGCAGAATATCCCGTTTAGAACGCACTCCATATTTTTCGCGTTTTAAATGCAGGTCCTCGAACGCAGATCCCATAAATCTTACTAGAGTTTGACGCGCCTCCCCCCCCCCCTCCAATATGTTAAATGTCTGGTATCCCTTGAGAAGATGTTTTACGCAACGGTAATATAAGTATAATAGCACATAAAAAAAATTAGAAAGCATAAAAGTTAAATTGGCATTTTTTAAAAAAACTAATTTTAGGCTGTATGAAAACTTGGGATTCGAAAAAATTTTTTGCAAAACTTATATAATAAATCTAATTTATCTAATTATAGTGTGTAATTTTGTTTGTTTAAATAAGGGGAACAACACTGCTATTCAATCAAAAAAATTTCGATTTCAATGTGGACCTTTAATTGGTAGTTTTTTTTAAGTTCTTTAATTTATTTTTAAATTTTTTTTATCATTCGAGTTAAACTGTAATATACTTGAAACATTAACATCTACATCATTTTTTATTTTTTTACAAATTATATATACACATAAATTATATAAATATATATAACGTATAATTATAAAAAAAAAATTTAATTTTAAAATATAAAAATGTATCATACTGATTTTAAAAGGGGGAATAAAAAGTACAATTTTTTTTTTTTGAAATTTCCGCTAATAGTCTTTACAATTCTATGTATATATTAAGCTCCTTTATTTATTTTTTCATATATAGCTTTTTAACTTCTTTCCTATCTAAATAAATTCAAAGTCCCTGGATACAGATTTCTTAGAATATGAGTTATAAAGATGAATAAATGAGATCTAAGTTTTCTATACTCTATTGATTGATTGTTGTTTAAAATTTATAACAGAAGGTTTATCTATGTCAATATGTTCCTTTTTCATCACATTACATTATCGACGTTATTATGCGTTTTTTTTTGCGATCGAAGAAAAAATTATAGGCATCCTCAAAATTTATCAAATCTACTTGAAACCTGTTCCAAGACAGACAGGCAAAATATTACTTCACCTTAACTTTAATTATATTTAAAAACGCACACGTAGGACGTTTTTCGTGAACCCCACTACCCTACCCTATTTTTTTATTTTTAATGAAACATATAAAAATAAATTAAAAATTTCTGAAAAAGATATTATTTTAACTCTCCTTTTTTTGCTCACATATTCGTAATATCATAATATATATTTAATATTAAAAAATATAATACTTAATGATGTTTTTAGGCTATTTTAACTAATAATTGCTAAAATATTTTAGAGATATAACTTTAGTTTTTGTTTTAATTTTTTAATTTAAACAATATTATTTATTATAATTTATATGTATTTTTTTTTCTTCTCTATTTTGCATTTAGACTTTTTTTTACGTTCTCTAAAATATAAAAATATTAATTTTATAATAAAATTTATTTTAATTTATTTTATTTCGGAAAATATTTTGCGAAAAAAAAAATATATTAAAGATAAAACAAATATTTTTATAAAAAAAATAATATATATTTGACTATAAAATTTTATACATTTATATATAAGTGTAAAAATATTTTAATTTTTTTTTGAGGATGAAAATATAATTTATCGGAAGAATTTAATAGCCTTTAGATGATGATCATAGATATATATTTATAGTTATTATCCTTTCTGTTAATTCTGTGATATTCCCATCTTTCTTTCTTTTCATATCTTCGAGATATTGCTAACGAAAGTAAAGCATTTTTTCATTAAAACATTATTCCTATTCCTTTAAAATAATTATTATATTATTATGATGAATATAAGTACGAGCTCAAGGGTGGACTGCCCATGTGCATTAGTGAGATAGATTTCACTGGGACCCTTAAATATCGGGACTTCCGGCAAAATATCTTGTAACTAGTGTGCCCTATTAGAATTTTTGAAAATAATTATATTTTAAATGAGGGAAGGCTAACTACTATTATGTATTTGTATATTTTCATGTAAATTTATAATCTAAAAATTTCCAAGAGTGAGCAAAAATATACATAAATGGCCTCTTTACCAGATCTGAAGTCTATATATATCAGGCATTGTTTTTACTTAGTATTGCATCCATAGGTGTTGAGTGATTCTCAGTGCAACTTATCGGGAAAAAGCATTTGAGACAATTTTTCATTAGATATATTGTTTTTAATCTTTCTGAAGGAATATATAAAAATAATTTATCTTCCACTTAATATTTCTAAGATATCTTTGAGTAAACCTCAAATGTTTTCAATAGGATTGAGATTGCTGCCTAGTAATTCCATTAACAATATGATCCTTTTAAGGTTTTTGAAGGTTACGCGGTATGACAAGGAGATCCATCTTATTGGAAGGTGTGATTAGGGCTTCATGTTCTATTAAATAAATTGATGGTAACAATACTTACTTGATGATTTCTTGGTATTTAACAGAAATTTTTATATTATTAATAAATAGTGCATCTTAAGCTTTTTGCACTTAGCAACCCTATACCATTATACTATAACTTGAAACTTAACTAGTTTTTCTGAGCATTCAAGATGGAAGATTTCTGCTTATATTCTTATTAATCCTATTTTGTACTGTCCCAAAATCGATATAAAATAATTTTGATTAATCGCTGGTTCCTCGTTGCTTCTTTTGTTTAATTTACTTATCATAAATCCCAATTTAATCTTATTTCTTTTGTGATATTTTTGGTTTCTACTTATGTAGTTTTTATTTGTCTTATAGAAGGAATATCCTATTAAATGTAATCTTCGTTAAAGAGATTGATTTGGAAAACTTGTTTTTTAATTACATAAATTCCATCAAATCATATTTTTGAGGAAGAGACACACCTAATTTTAAGAACTATCATATTGATTAGACTTATAAACTCTATTATTTTTATTACAGCTCTGTAGTATATGTTTCTAATAGTTGCTTGACCTAGATCCAATTAATACGTCATCTTCTCACTATAATTTCTTCTCTTATATTGGTTAAGTTTAATAAATCTTACGAATATATGTATTTGTTACCTCTACCCATTTAAAGAAAATAAAACATAGTTTTTTAAAAAACAAACGATTGTTTATTTTTAAAAAAAATTGGAACATTTTAGTGATTCCTAGCATGGTGGTGGAATATCTATGACTAAGGGTGTCAATTTTCAAAAAACTTATATTTTCTTATTAAAAATTTAATTTCCAAATATACCTTTACATTAATTAATATTCATATATAATTATTATTAATTATGAATTTAAGATATTGAATAATTATTTTTCGAATTTGAGAATTATGATGTAATCTGAAAATCAAGAGTGATCACAAATTATTAAGGCGAGGTATAGTTTATATACATTAATATTATATCATTCGCGAAAGCGAAGGGCGATACCCCCTCTATAATCCTTTTTAAGCACGTCACACCTAGCCTTTATTAGCCTGCCAGTTCACCCTTGTACAAACCAATTACCTAGTATAAATGTATATAGATCCTCCCGAAAATAAATTTTTTGGTTTAATTTTTGGCCATTATACTCATCTTATAAAGGTGATTGTAAGGGACACCAGTGAGGAAGTTTAATCCTATTTTTGTTTTATATTTCAGAGACAAATCCTTTAAATTATATAGTCAAAATATATATATTAAAATTATACTTTACTATTCGATTACTTATCTTTCCCGAAAACCCAGGATGGCATCTGAGCTAGCTTGCTCCCGACCTCGGGATTAATTAAAGATCGTTAGAACTTCTCTGGAATTAGGGAAAAAAACAAATTTATAGAGATTTGGATTCCAGCCTGGGTTCAGTAATAAAATAAAATTTCCGTCTGAGCTCGGGCTGTAAAAAATTAAATTTGCAAAGCTATCTCCTTGAAGTGCTTTTTAATTTGATATGGACTTATATTAAAAAATATTCACAAGAGTCAACGAATAACGAATGAAATTATGGAGTACTGTTCCTTTTTTTCTTCTTTTATTCCTTCCTTCCTTCTTCCCTTAACTTCAAAACTATATTCGATTGATTTTTTTTCTTCTTAATTTCATCGTTTGCATTTCTCTTTGGTACGTGGATGGGGTACCGAGTTAAGGCAATAAATAAAAATTGCTCAAGAAACAAAATCCTTTAGAGATGTCCTTGCACCTCCAGATGCTTCCAAAGTCATGCCACTGAACTTATCCCTTAAAAAATAAAACAATCAATCTTAAATTAACCCGCCAAATTTTGGAATTTCACAAAATGACGAATTATAACTTTTCGGAACGGTCTCAGATTGTTTCCAAAAATATGATATCGAAACCCAACCAGAAGTTTTTTAATTGAACAAGAAACGGAACAAAGATATACAATCCATATCTCGAATTAATTTATTTGTAAATATTTAACCGGCAAAATGGAAGTTGGGCAATCTCAATTTTTTTTTAAAAAAAATAGATAAAATGATAAATTTAAAAAAATTATATATTTTTTTTTACCTGAATTTCTTTCCTTCCTTCTTCTTTCTTTCTTTCTTTCTTTCTTTCTTTCTTTCTTTCTTTCTTTCTTTCTTTCTTTCTTTCTTTCTTTCTTTCTTTCTTTCTTTCTTTCTTTCTTTCTTTCTTTCTTTCTTTCTTTCTTTCTATAGCAACAAAATTTTTTTAAATATCATTTATACTAAAATGATCAAAAATCGGCAATATAAATCAGAGACCGAGCCGTATATTTTAAAACCAAATGTTTTAAATCGACATTATTAGCTATAAAAAACAAAAATAAATATAATATATTTTTTAAAAATCCGAGCAAGGCCTGAATATTTATTTTTATAAAAAACCTCTGGCCGGGTCTTAACATATAAAACCCGGGCCGGGCCAAAAAAATAACATATTATGATAGTTCTTCTTGTTATATTTGAGGTTTACCTTACATTTCTAAAAGGGGGCTCAGATTATTATTTATAAATATATATATATGTATTATAATATACAAGTTACAAGTAATAAATCTTTATAAAAAAACGATTAAAAGAAAAGTTAGAAGAATAAGAATTAGAAAAAAGAATAAGATAATGACACTGGCAAATCATCACTTCAACTGCAAAAGTAAATCGAAAAAAATAATAAAATGACCAATCAAAAAAGTCATAAATAGCTACAGCCAAATCAGGAGTTTTTATTTTATCAATTACTTTTTTTTTTATTATTGTCATTTCGAAATAAGAGAAGAGATAGGGAGAGAAGGAAAAGAAAAATAAATTAATTTTATTTTTTATAATTTGTTAATTTATAGTCAATATTAAAATAAAAAAAAAAACTTTTCCTTTTCCTTAAAATATACTATTAATACTTCTTTTTTTTAAACTCAAAAAAGAGAGGACTATTAATTATTATTTTAAATCAAAATCTATAATATTTTTATAATATACTAAATAATATATATAATACCATTTATTATTGACACACACAACATTAATAAGTCACATAAAAACATCATTAACTTTTTCTTAAAATATTTAAAAAAGGATATAATATTTATTATTGTATAAAAATATAGTGTAATATATACTCAAAAAAAAATTGATTTATTTTACTTATATAACAAAACTAAAAATAATTGAAAAAAAATAATAATATAAAATAGGTTTAGCTTTAAAAGATAGCTAAAATCATTTAATTTAAAAAAAAAAAATTTACTAGGCTTGAGAAACCTTATAAGGGCGAGCTATATTTGTAGCACTAAAGAATACCTTTGAAAAGCCAATAGGTGTTGTGCGGTCATTACAAATCAGCATATTGTCCCGTTAAGATTTTTGTACCCTAACCTAACCATAAGTTTTTTTTCAGTTCGGCCATTAATAAAAATTTACAATAGTAACTAGGCCCTTATTTTAGCTTACTGATTTCTAGAAGCTATCTACTGTAATTTTATCTCATAATTGGTCAACTTATTTATCTTAATTTTGTTGAAACAATCAACACACACATATATATATATATATCATTTCTCTAATGTATACTTGTTAATTGGTTTGTAGATTTATCTTCCAGTCTTATGCCCCCCCCCCTACCCCCGTTACCTCTTACTTCTCACAAACCCAAATAACTTAAATTTTAAAAATTTACTGTTATATTTTTTTTTTAAAAAACAAGTATAATTTAAAAAAACATACTTATAATTAGTCTGGGTTATATTACTCCTCATCATAAGTAAATAGTTAAGTAGCTGGATGTTTCTTAATATTTAATTTAACAACACTACGGTTAAAGTTATAATCCTTCGAAAGATGTAGCTAGTCACGACATGGATGGGAAAAGCGATTATCATATTAATAACCATGGGATTATATCTAGACCTCCTCATCGAATTGTATTTTATTAAGGAGAAGGAATATTTAAAAAATAAGAGATATCTTGTATCTAAGATTCTTTTAATAGCAAAAGATGCGAGTATTTTATTTATACATTACTATATTTGTATCTGTGTCTCTACGATATGTTTTAAGTTGTAAAGAGGACCCAATCCAACTCTAATTGAAGTTATAACACGTTATTAAGTGTGGGAAGATTCATGAAGTGTAAGACTGGCTCTATATGTATTATTGAAAATTAACCTACCTACATTAAGTGATAGTATTAGCAGAGACCCGCAAAGATTAAATTTTATTCAAATTTTTCGGCCCGGATTTTTATATTTTGTTTTTTACAACCCGACCCGGTATTTTTAAAATCAAATTAAACTATGAGCCGGGGTT